AAAGATGTTCAATCTCACTAGCAATTAGAGAAATAAATTCTATCCAGATGTCATTGCCACCCCTCCCCACCCCCCCACCCCCGCTTGGTTTTTTCTTGAGACAGTCTCCTTAAGCAGTTTGGGCTGGCCTTGAACTCACTAGGTAGCCCAGGCTTGCCTCAAACTCGCAGTGATCCTCCATCCAGCCTCAGCGTCCTGAATGCTGGAATTACAGGCATGCACCACCACACCCAGTCTGTCCCACCTTTCAATGGGCACAAATCTCAAAGTCAGACAATATTCCTGTGAGCAGCTAGAAGAGGACTAGTGGGCTGGGGGTATAGCTCAGGGGTACAGCACTTGCCTAGCATACATGCAGCCCTGGGTTTAATATCCAGCATTAAAAAAGGCACCTTTATACAGAAACCAAAAACATGCATATCCTCTGCACTAAAATGTGCACACGCTGGTCACACACTGCAGAAATAGACACTATTTCAAACAGAACATGTGCTAGGATATTCAGTGCAGGTTGTCTGCAATAAATGAACACTGAACAATCGGACTGGGAAAGAATAAATAAAATGTGGCATATTCATGAGGGAAAATAACAGCAGTTAAAATAAATGAAAGTTTTATAAGTATGAATGTGGAGCCAGGTTTATAATCCCAGCACTCTGAGAATCTGAGGTAAGAGGATAACAAGTTTGAGTTACACATGTAAAATTTAGTGAGACCCTGTCTCAAAAAAAAAAAAAAAATGCTGGGGATGTAGTTCAGTGTGAAGACCCTAGGCTCAACTCCTCGAACTGAAAACAAACAAACAAAAAGCGAACCCGGATGTCTCTCAAAAATATACTTATTATGTGAGCATATGTGAGGTCCTGGGTTCAATCTCAGTACCACACACACCACATACACATAAAAGATTAAAAAAAAAAAAGATTAAAAAACATATTGAAAAATGCAAGTTATAAGCAAATTTAAAAATAAGGGGGCCACGGGGGTAGGAATCTAGCTCAGTGGTTCCCCTGCGTGCCTTGCAAGCGCAAGGACCAGAGTTCGATCCCCGGTACAGCAAAAAAATAAAATAATAAAATAAATTAAAAAAATAAAAATAAACTGGGCACGGGGGTGTACACCAATAATCCCAGCATTTTGGTAGGGGAGGCAGGAGAATTGAAAGTTCGAGCCCAGTTTGGCAACTTAGACCCTGTCTCAAAACTAAAAATAAAAAGGGTTTGGGGTGTAGCTCAGTGCAAAGGCCCTGAGTTCAATCCCTGATAACTAACACACACACACACACACACACACACACACACACACACACACACTAAAGCATAAATACCATTTATAGAGAACACGTCTAGAGAATTACTACAAAGTATGATCAAAATAAATAATGAAAGTTTAAATTTAAAAAAATTTATTACAGTAAAAAATACATCACCATTAAACCCCCTCAAAATAACCCCCTCAATTCAAACACACCTTTTCTACTCTTGGTACAGCTCTAGAGTCCACGGCTGCCTTAATGTCCTGAACTGAGTCAAAACATTTACCTTTCTTGGTCATTTGACTTTGGGGAAGCTGCAGTCTCAGATCCAGTGAATAAAGACACACTGTAATGTCTTTGCAAGCCTGCTTTCCCTTTGGATGGTACTCCCCAGCAGCATTTGCCATATTGTTGATCACATCTCATAAGATATGAGAGAGGACTTGCAGAATTGTTTCAGAAAGTGACAAGATAGGATAAGTGTGTTCAAAGTAAGAAGGAGTACTTTGTTGGAAATTAACGCCAACGTGTCTTTTAGTATAATAAGTTTATTTAATAAATTTGTATTTAAACATGCGCTGTATTTGTGATCACCCCTCATGCACGTCTAAGTTGTGGTGAGAGCTTCAACATTATCTATGTTACTTCATTTCTTTTACCTTAAAAAATCTAAGAAAATAATTTCTCAGTGCTGGGTGTGATAAGTGAGTATCTTATAAGCTGCTTCATACTCCTCAAATCAAATCTTACTCTGACACAGCAAGCTCCACCAGATGAACAACATCTGATGAGTGTCAATGTAGGATCGATGACTTAGTGCTTGCTGCCTGTGTTCCTAACTATAAAATGGGCAGAGTCCAGGGTCTATCCACAAGGTCACTGGACAGATGAGTGAGCATGTGTCAATGTCCTGAAACAGTGCTTGGGCCAGAGGCAGCAAGCCTGGGACATGAGATCTCTCAGGATCACCACCAAGGAACCTGTGACCCTCAGAGAGACCAACAGCAGAAAGATGATGTGGCTGCTGGTTATGTGGGCATGTCCACTGGGCCCGCTGATGATCTAGGTGCTTTTCTGCATCGGGTAGGGAGGAAGGGAGCGAGGGAAGGAAAGAGGGACGAAGGAAGGTAGGTGCCTGCCAAGAGTCTATTAACAATTATCATGTCCAGGCCGGGGATTCAGCTCAGGGGTTTCACCGTCTGCTGCACAAGTGCAAGGACCCAAGTTTGATCCCCGGCACCATAAAAAAAAAAAAAAAGAATTATGATGTTCAGCCAGTGATGGTGCATGTCTATAATCCCAGCACTTGGGAGACTGAGGCAAGAGGATTGCTGGGAGTTCAAAGCCAGCCAAGGCTACATAGTGAGTTCAAGGGCAGCCTGAACTATGTAGCAAGAGTGTCTCAAAAAAAAAAAAGATTTATGATATCCAAAGAACTAGAGATAGTTACCCTAGACCAGTGATGGTGAACCTTTTAGACCTTTCAATGATTCAAGCAGCCTACTGTGGCACACATGCCATAGCTTTGCCACCACTGTCCTAGACTACTGGCTAACAAAGAAAAATCACTTATGCAAAGTTTCAGTAAAAATTCCTAAAGATGGGCTGGGGATTTAGCTCAGTGGTTCCACCGCCTGCTTCGCAAGCATAAGGTCCTGAGTTTGATCCCCAGTACCAAAAAATGAGAAACAACAACAACAAAAAATTCCTAAAGATAAAGTAAAAGGTAGTACAAATAAAGCTATACACTTAAGAAAAAAGACATCATGGCAATAAATGTGAGTATCTGCATGAGACATCCCTGTCACATTTGTCAGGTATGAACACAGAGGTTACTTCTTCAGTAACATCCTTATCAGTTAGATTAGTGAAGCATTTATGGTTGAAAACAAAAGTAATTTTTGGAATTTGCTTTAAAGTAGCATAGGAGAGCTGGGCATGGTGGTGCAGGCCTGTGATCCCAGCTCCTGGGAAGCTGAGGCAGGAGGATCACCATGAGTTCCGAGGCCAGCCGGGGCTACATAAGAGTTCAAGGCCAGCCTGAACTACATGGTGACACCTTGCCCCCCCCCAAAAGCAGGGAAAGCAGATAAAACAAGACTGTAAAGTTTAATACATAATGAAGCTAGATGGTAGAACATGGCCAGTTGTTATACTACTCCAACTTAGTCTGAAAATTTCCATAGGTAAACTCTGGTTGCTGGGGGTGTAGGTCAGTGGTACAGTGCTTGCCTGGCATTGGGGAAGGGTTGGGTTTGATCCCCAGCAATGAAAAAAGGAAAAAAAATACACATTTAAAAAGTTTCACTCAGGAGAATAAAATGAGTGGTGGGGCAGCGTTTAATTCAAGATAAGCCCTTCCCGAATTCTTTTTTTTTCTTTTCTTTTTTCTTCGTTTGGTACCGGGGATCGAACTCGGGACCTTGCTCTTTCGTGGCAGGCGAAGAACCACTAAGCTAAATCCCCGGCCCCCAGACTTCTTGATCTACCCCCCAAAAATCAAACTAAACGCCTCATCGAGGCACTGCTGTAAAAAAGCCTGCCCCTTGTCAGCAACTCTGCTGGGCGAGAAAGACAAAAGACCAAGGAGGAGAGAAGGCCTGCCTGCTCTGAACTGCAGGCAGCAAAGAACCTACCGGCAGTTCTCCTTGAAGCGGCACTTTCCCTCTAGGAAGAATGGGCACGGCTTCAGAGACTTGTGAGTGGGGTACAGGTAGAGCACGCGGACGCAGGCCGTTCCATCCTCTGTCTCCTCGGTGCCCACCACCATGGCATTGTGATACTCCAAGGTGCCCCATGCACTGTAGTAGGGGGCGTTCACCTTCGCTCCGTTCAGTTCTTCCTCCTCTCCCTCCTCTTCCCGCCCAGGTTCAGTAGGTTCTGGTCCTGCCTCTCTCTCATGGCCGGTCTCTAGGTCTGCCCTGGGAGTGGTGGGCACCTCCGGGACCTCAGCAATGGCCTTCTGGAACTCCAGGTATTCGGCGTCCTCCTGGGGTGGGCACTCTTGGTCCAGCGTGGCCAGCAGCTTGCTCTTCCTGACAGACACCAGGCTGGCCTCGGTGAGCTCGATCAGCTCCTTCAAGTCGCCCTGCAGCTGGCGCAAGTCCGCCTGCTCGGAGGCATCCAGGCCCGCACCCAGGGCCAGTTCCACCTGCCGCAGCTGGCCACGGTAGGTCTGGAGGGCCGTCTCTAGGCTGTCTTCGTCCATCCCCACAGATAGGCTGGTTTCCCGGACAGCGGGGACCGGTCCCCGGAGGAGAGGCGCGGCCAGGTGAAAGAAGAGCAGCCAGGTGAGTCCAGGACCTGTGCCCTGCTCGGAAGCCCCAGCCAGCGTTCAGGCGGGTGGGGCGGCCTCCCTTTAACGGTGAGGGCTCGTTCACAAAGGGCAACAGCTCAGGGGTAACGGGAGCCGGCCCTGCCCACCGCCCCTCTGCCTCCTCTTCCCGGGAGGGCGGCCAGGCCTTGCAATTCGCGGCCCCGCCGGCTGGCCGCCCCACCCCCCGCGGTCCCCAGGGCTCGCCGGCTTAGCCCGGAGCGGGAACTTCCGCTCCAGCGCTGCAGCTGCCGGAAGCGCCCTCGCGCAGGGGTCACGGCGCGCGGGGACCGCCGGGACACGGCTCCGCCCCTGTCCCGTCAGGCGCCGAGTGAGGCCAGCGCCGGGTCGGCAGGGTGAGGAGTGGGGCGGTCGCGGCTCCGAGCCAGGCGGGAGCAGGTTTGCCGTGGCACGGGGCAGGGGCGGTGAGGACGGACCCGGGGTCCCGAGCGGGGCTGATGCTGGGGACGGGAAGGCTACCACGGCGGCAGAGCCGGGCCTGGGATCCCAGGGCTTGGCCGGGCTCAGGCGGCGGGGCGCGACAGGAGCCTGGCCTGGCCTCGCTGCCCCTGGGCCGACTGGAAGGTGCACGCGAGGCTCCCAGTGCCGAGCGAAGGCCCCTGGGAGAGGAGCCTGGACAGGCCAGAGCAGAGGAGGCCGAGACGTGTTTTCAGAGGAGAGGGACAAACAGGGATCTGTAGTTTGAAAGGTGAATCAATGCGGCGAGCGGAATGACCTGCAGGGGGAGTGATCCAGGAAGAGTTGTGGCCAGGAAGAGTTGTGGCGGCTCAGGGAGGCAGGGTCCGAGTCTTGCGGAATGGGGGACGAGGACTTGGGAGCCACCTTGGGCTCCGGATCTAAACAGCCAGCAGGACAGACTGAGCCCTAAGGGGAAGCCAGCGGGAGGCGGGTGCAGGTGGCGCACACCATGACTTCTCTTGGGGTGCCTAGGGCAGGATGTACACACTGCTGTCGGGGCTGTACAAGTATATGTTCCAGAAGGATGAGTACTGCATCCTGATCCTGGGCCTGGACAATGCTGGGAAGACGGTAGGTACCTGTTCCCTTGCCAGCGCCCCTCCCTTGCTTGGTGGTCTAGTTTTGGTTTCATTCTGGCACCTGCAAGTTCACTGACTCCAGATCCCTCCTGAGACCACAGGATGGTCTCTATTAGCTGTGTGTGTGGTGCTGGTGGTGGGGCTGTGCTAGAGACTGAATCCAGGGCCTTTGCACTGAGCTGCATCTCCAGTATTTTTATTTTGAGACAAGGTCTCAGTGAGCTGCCCAGGCTGGGCTCGAACCTGCAGTCCTCTTGCCTTGACCTCTCAGAGTGCTGGGATTACTGGTGTATGCCACCACTCTTCCCTCTACTAGCTTCTTGAAGACCCACAACTCACTCTGTTTGGTTCATCTTTTCATGTTTTCTTTTCTTTTTTTTGGTACAGGGGATCAAACTCAGGACCTTGCACTTTTGAGTCAGGTGCAGTACCACTGAGCTAAACCCCTGGCCCCTCATCTTTTAATTTTTTAAGGAATAGACCAAGAAGGAATATTTGGGAACCTGACCTGGTACTCTAGCCGCTTCTAATGCTCTCTCCCTCTCTCCCCAGACCTTCCTGGAGCAGTCAAAAACCCGGTTTAACAAGAACTACAAGGGGATGAATCTGTCTAAAATCACCACCACCGTGGGTCTAAACAGTAAGGGGCACTTAGGGCTTTGGGTTTAAGGGGACCCCTAAGGGTACTGTGGTGTCCACAACCCAGTCGGCCAGTGACCAGAACACTGTCTGTTGGGCCTTTGCTCAACCTCCTTGGAAGTGGCAGTGATGTGGTTTACTGCATGAGTGGCAGAGCTGGGACTTGTGTGTCAAGGACTAAGGTCATGAGTTTGCCTGTTCTCTCCTCTCCCCAGTTGGCACTGTGGACATAGGAAAGGCTCGCCTCATGTTCTGGGACTTAGGGGGACAGGAGGAGCTGCAGTCTTTGTGGGATAAGGTAAGACATCTACCCCTTGCTTGGCACTGCCTGCCCCTGTGCATTTTCTCTCCAGATGGCAACCCTCAGTTTCTTCCTCTGTGAGAGATCTCATTACCTACTTTGTTCCTGAGGATTTCCCCAGTTACTTCCTGTTTCATCCTAGCCAAAATCCCAGCTGGAGTCACCACAAAAGTGGCAGTAGGGGCAGTAGAGAAGTTCCCACAAAGGAGTGGCTGGCCTTCTTGAGGTAGGGATAGTTGAGATTCCAAAGAAAGAAGCATTGTTCACCAGAGTCAGTTCAGAGAACTTATTGGGGTAACTCATAGAGGGCTGCAGTCTGTCCTTTGGGAGACAGCAAAGAAGGATGTTCTGCAAGTACCCGGTATTTCTCCCAACAAAGGAGGCAGGAATAGGGTTTATATGAAAGTTTAAGGAACCTGCTTCAGTTTTTGGGTTTTTTTGGTACCGGGGATGGAACTCGGGTCCTTCTGCTTGTGAGGCAGGCGGTGGAACCACTGAGCTAAATCCCTGGCCCTGCTTCAGTTATTTTGAGTGTTTTGAGGAACAACCTAAACATCTTATCAGTGCCTAGAATCTTTAAGGCAACTTAGGCTCAAGCCTACAGGGAAAGTCATGCATCTGGCTGTGTCTCAGAGCCATCAAGATATCTGTGTTTCTTGGTCCGGAGAAAAGAAAAAATAGAAAAACTTAAGAGGACTCTATATCCTCTAAATGTGAAGACACAGTTGCTTCCTTTCACCTTAGAGATTTTGTTGCTGATCACTATAAGATGCAGACAAAACTAACAAAGACCAAATGTGGGAAGGGCCCAAGGGCTGTGTTTACTGGTAGGTCCACTTGCCTCATTTCTAGCTTATTACCCAGTTCTTTGTGGCGGCCTCTTCCCCACCTAGGGGAGCATATCCTCAGCGGCAGACAGCAATTGCCTCCTCTTTTAACATAGGTTTTGGGGATTACTGAGACCCCAGTGTGTTAGCCTTCACCCCACATGCCCCTAGACTATAGTCTCTGTCTAGCTCAGTCTGTCCCAGACACTAAATCCAGCACTAAGCAGGACAGACCCAGCTCTTCCCTCAGGGAGTACCTGGCTCATGAGTTGGCATGGTGCATATTGGGTAGTTCACTGCTGCATTGCAGATGCCTTGGCCACTCTGATGCTTGCCAGCTGTCCTGTGTTAGAACCAAGGCTCACGTCCTGATTTTGACCTGGATTCCCTTTCCTGGGCCACACCAAATTATTCCCACCTATGATGACTTCTAGCTTCTGTCCTATGACCAGGTTTCTGACATACTCGCTGTGGCCACTTAGGACAGGCAAAGGATGAACCAAATTAAGGCCTGCTTGTCCAAAAGCCAGGTATATGTGGGTAGTCACATAGATGATGACATTCTTGTCACAGGGTGGGACCTAGGGAGTAGCTGCCAAGATGGATTGGGTACACCATGCATATTAAGGATCAGGACAGGAAGAAGCAGGGAGGGAGGGCACCGTATGGAGCAGGGGGAAAGGTCAACTTGGGCGACTGGGTCAGTGGGGCAATGGCTGGCCCAGTGGGAAGCACTGGAGGAGAGTTGTGGTCGTGAGTAGATTGTGTCAGCCAGGGCTGCCCAGGACTCTATATTGCTGCCTGGTGGGCCACTACTATGGCAGATCTGACCTGGAAAGGTGGTTCTTAGCAGCCAAAGTGTCCTGCAGGGGCCAAACTGAGGCCATGTACTATGCACAGCCTGCTTCTTGAAAACCAGGCTGCAGTGGGGCTCACATGCCTGTGTTGGCCATAACCCACCTGTGTACTGCTTGGGTCTGTACCTCTGTGTTGGGGAATGGCTCCTCCTAAGTGAAACTGGCAGAGGGAAATGAAGGGATGGACTAGAGTCTTTGCATCTGGTGTAGAATTGTGCTTATCTTTGTTGCCACTTCTTTTGCTAGGGTGTGACTTCATCCTGGTTGTCTTAGCCTTCAGAGTTGCCAGCCTTCCTGCCACTCCAGGCACTTATCTGTGCCCTGATGGGGTCTACCTGGACACAAGGAGCCCAGCATGCCCCACACAACCGTGGTTTGTGACTGAGGGGCTCAGTTCAGTGTGCTGCTGTGGTGGGCAAGAACCCTAACCCTGTAGAGCCCACAGTTGGGATAGGCAGCACAGCTTCCCACGGGTTCTGGGAGTGACAGGAACTTCTTTTCTCACCCTGGTTCCTGGATGCTGTGTCCTTGTTCAAGCCCAGTGCCCTAGAACTGTCTCCAGTTGGGACAGTTGTCACATCTTGGGGCTTGGGCCTCCATGTTGCTGCCTCTCCATGGGGACTGCAGCTGGCCATACCCCATATGAGAGTATCTGGATGTGCAGTCTGTACTATGACTGTGGTCTGCAAGGTCCTTTGTTAAAGCATATGACTCTTGGGCTGAAGTGACGTGACATAGGATCCTGTGCTGGGGGCTTGTAGCTGAGGGACCCCATTGCTGCTGGGGAGACAGACAGCCATGCTGCCTCTGATTCCCTTAAAGGATGGCATGCAGCACCTGTTGGGCTCGTCTGAGCTGCTGCTGTCAGGCTGAGCACCTGTCCTTGCTGGTGGTTCCATCTGCCTTGCTCAGTGGTGCATGGCGCCTGTCCTGTTAGGCTCGTAGTCTCCCACCAGGGCCGCGCATCTTCGCTGTCCACTAAGCACTGTGCTGCGCTTCCAAGTCACTTCATCCCCAGTGGTGCTCTAGTAGACCTTGGGATGGGTCACTCCCTGTGTCTGCTGCTTACACCCATCCCAGGCCCTCTGCTGACTGCTGCGATCCAGAGCTCTGACACATGCCAGTCTCTGGTCGTAACTTCTCGCACAAGGAAGACCAAAAAGCCTGCCTGATCTCTGTCCTCAGGGATGATATCCTTGGCCTCTGTCTGAGTCATTCTTTCACCGCTGGCACAAAATACTTGACACCTACAAGTTAAAGGAGAGGTTTATTTTGGCCCCCAGTTTGTAGAGGTTTCAGTCCATAGTCATCTGGCTCCAAGAAAGGGTGCCTGGCAGAGGAGAGAGTCCAAGACCTGGCAGGCAAGGAGCAGGGGCGGACCAGGGAGGAGGAGATCCATGTGACCATTCCAGGCCACGCGCACAATGGCCCAGCTCTTCCCACCAGGCTCTGCCTCCCAGCATCACACCCAGCTGTAAACCCATCAGTGGGCTGATGGTCACCTCCCAGAAGCCCCACCTGTGAGCACATGAGGCTTTGGGGGACATCTAGTTATGACCCCCAACAGTCTGTCTCCCCAGGCCTGGCACGAGAAGGACTAGTGCAGCTGCCATATACCTCTGGCCTGTCGCAGCGAGTTCATCTGGGCCAGCCATGACCCATGAGCTGTGCTTGGGCATTCCCTCTTCTGCTTACACAGGATCCCCATGTCGCCACAGATGTGACCCCTCCACATCTTGCTGGTGACTGAACTGTCCACTTTGCCTGGAAGGTATCATGGGCAGCTCTGGCTGCTTGGTCCACGGGTCTGGCCTCTGGCCACCCATGACACTTGTGCTTGCTTGGGGCTACAGGTACCATGTCCCACACAGCATTCCTTCCCGCCATGGAGGGCTCCACAATGAGACCCACCAGCTCCATGGCTCTGTTGCAAGAGGGCAGCCCACTCCCCAGTAGCCAAAGCAGCTGCTGTGTGTGGGTCTTACTGCAGAACCCAGGAGGACACCTGGCCACAGGCATCCAGGTCCACTGTGGAAATTGCCCCTGAAGATCATGCAAAACCAGCAGGCTGCTGTGGCCCCTGCATCTCTCTTCATCCCTCCTTGTACTGAGCAACAAACCCAAGCTTTCACACTGAGCTATATCCTGGCGCTAGTCCCCCTTTTGCTTATTTTGAGAGGGTTTTGCTAAGCTGCCCAGGCTGAGCTTGAACTTGCAATCCTCCTGCCTCAGCCTCCCAGAGTTCTAGGGTTACAGGTACAGACCACCACTCCTGGCTTCCTGCCCTAATTGTCAACCCTCAAGTGCATGTGACCATTGGGTCAGTGTTGAGTTCTGCTGTGCCAGGGAAGGGGGACTGGCATGACCCTGAGGTCAAATGGCCAGTGTGTGCTGTTGGCTGTTCCCCGAGGACATGCTTGTTCCATAATCTCTTCTGCACTTGCCAGGCTGGGTCCCTGCTGCCGTGTGGGTTTGCAGCTCCTCGCCTGCCCATGTGTCTTGCCAGTGGTGCTGGTCCAGCCTGCAGAGATCTGAGCTCAGCAGTTGGCGCTGTCCTGGAAGGGGCAGGCAGGCAGCTTAGTAGGCAACTCCGGCCTTGCCCAGGGCCCTCTGGGAGGCTCATTGGTGGCACGCCTGGCATCCACATCACTGGGTTTCCCTCTGCACCACATAAGCCTCCACGTGTACCCTTATGGGAACTGCACGGCTATCTCGGCTCACCCCACCCACCTCACTTCTGCTTCTTTCTCACCACTGTCAGGCTAAAGGCTGCACGTGGTTCTTAGGGCTGCATCTGGGCAGTGGGAGGCCAAGCCTCACCAGGGCTCTCCTGAAGGGGCCTGGGAATCTTCCCCACTGAATCTCCAACCCCAGGGGGCATCCCAGCAGGTCTTACAGTTGGAGCTGTGCCGATTCCCAGACCGTGGCTCCTGTGGTGGCTGCCAGTCTCTGCCTGTCCCTTCCTCTCAGGGGTCTCTCCTGGTGGCCACAATGCAGGGCCTGGCAGCGCCTTGGGAGGTGGCAGCTCCAGCCCCACCTTCCATTGTTTCCCTCCAGTACTATGCGGAGTGCCATGGCGTCATCTATGTCATTGACTCTACTGATGAAGAGAGACTGTCAGAGTCCAAGCAGGCATTTGGTGAGTGTAGCCTGGCCACTCCCAGAAGAGACCATGAAGTCCCAGGCTTTTAGGGAGGGCCTTGGGGAAACGGTCAGGTCCAGTCTGGACATCCCAGCTAGCTAGAGCTAGCCCTGAGAGAGGCTGGCCCCGTACGTGGTCTCCCCTGAGAGGCCCCGCACATTTCCCTGTGGGAAATGCAAATGTGGGAGGGAGAGGGAGCCCGGTCTCTACTGACCGTCCTGCGGGTCCCTGGGCCAGGCCTGCAGTCCAGGCAGGACATGGTGTGAGGTGCCCCTCTCTCCCTCCCCAGAGAAGGTGGTTTCCAGTGAGGCTCTTGATGGTGTCCCCATCCTGGTGCTGGCCAACAAGCAGGATGTGGAGGTGAGCCCCACCCTGCCTCCCCTCACAGCTTCTCCAGTGGCCCTGTGCCCCAGTGCGTGGGCACCCTCAGACACCATGGTCCCAGAGCCCCCTTCGTGTGCAGAGCCCCTCTTGTAGGCCCTTCTGCCCCATGGCCTCAGGCCCTTCAGCTTGCCGAGCTCCGTTCCTGCTCTGGGCATCACTGGGCAGCACTAGTGCTCAGGCAGGCCTTTCGCTCCCACCCTGAGTACTGGGCTCCTCGTCCCCAGGGAAGTGGGGAGCACCTTCCTTCCACTAGAGGGAGGGTGAGCTCCATCCAGGGTGTGTGGGCTGCTGGTGGGGAGACCCAGGCAAAAGCTCTGAGCCGAGAAGGGCTGAGCTGGGGAGCACGGCTAGGAAAGGATCAGCGTCTCTGCCAACCACCTCCCAAGCCAGGGCCCTCTAAGGTGATGCTGCCCTGGGACTGCTGGCCACACACAGTCCCTGCCATCCTGTGGAAGGCTCAGCACAGAAGAGGCTGTAGGCTGAAGAGGGCCAGGGGAAGGTTACCTTCCCTGAGTTGGCGCTGTGCCCCACTGTGCCCCAACTGCCCTGTGAACCTGGAGAACCTTACTGGCTCCTCTGAGTCCCAGAATCACTGCAGAGGGCAGATGTCTGGTAAGGGCAGGGTCTTCTCTCAGAGGCAAGACAAGCGGAGGAGCCCCCAGGGCCCTGGCCCCCCTTCCCTCACTTTTGCCTTTGGGGCTCAGAGCCCCACCTCAGAGCTCTGAGTCCTTGCCTGGGGCTCGCTGTGGGGACAGGGACACTTCTGGGCTCCTGGTGCCTCTCGCTGGAGCCCCATGGCCAATCTTGGGCAGACTCATGGGCTGGCTGGCGTCCTGACCACTGTGGCTTCAGCGTGAGGACGATGCAGCCCGGCAGAGCCTTGCGCCAAGTGGTCTCCTGGGGTGAAGGTGTGATGAAGAAGGCTGAACGGGCCGGCCATGGGCTGCTGCTCAGGGCCTTGCCTCCTCCACCAGACGTGCCTCTCCATCCCTGACATCAAGACTGCGTTCAGCGACTGCAGCTATAAGATCGGCAGGCGAGACTGTCTGACCCAGGCCTGCTCTGCCCTCACAGGGTGAGTCCAGGCTCCACCCTGCAGGGGTCCGGGGGCCAGAGACAGCCCTCCCTTACCCCCACTGTTTCTGCAGCAAAGGAGTACGTGAGGGCATTGAATGGATGGTGAAGTGCGTCGTGCGGAACATCCACCGGCCACCCCGGCAGAGGGACATCACGTAGGCGCAGCCAGCTCTGCCGTCTCAGACGGTTCGTCCCCTAGTGCTGGAGGAGCTCCCTGCTGGCTCCTGTACCACTCATCCTGGGGGTTGGGTTTGCTTTGCCTTTTGGTTTCTTTTATTTGCTTTATGTTTTCTGTAAGACAAACTTTCCTGTGTCTGGAAAAGTACAGGCATCCAGAGGCTTCTGCCAGGGGACCTGGGCAGCTGGGCCTGCCTGGCTGCACATTGGCCACCACAGGCCTTGGGTCCTGCCTGACACTCGCAAGGGCCCCGGGGCTCTCAGCTCAGGCATCAAGGAAGGTGGGGGAACCAGGTCTTGGCTGGATAGGCCTCCCTGGACCTGCCTGCCATCCCAGAGGGAGTCTGAGGAGAGCTGTGTTGGAAGTGGGCGTTTGGCTGTGGCAGCTGCTTCGTCTCATTTGTCTGTGGAGGAGGTAGATGTGGCCATGGCTTATCCTGGAGCAGGTGTGGGGACAGGTATCCCCTTGAGGAAGATCTAGCCACATCAGTAGAGGCCACCAAGGTCCTGAGTTTTGCGGCAACCTCAGGGCAGACAGGGCTGGGATGACATGGAAGCCATGCCTCCCCACTGGCCCATTCTCCCCACATTTTAATGTCCAAGGGAGGGGTAACATGGCAGTGCTGGGAGGGTGAGCTGGATATCTGGGTCTTTATGCTCCCCACCCATCCAGCAGATTGGGCAATGTTCCTGGAGGCACAGACTTCCCCAGCCCAGCTCAGGTGGTACCTGGGGCGTTGGTTGGTTTGGGTTCACGCAGAGCCCAGCTGAGTGGGGTGCTGGGCCCAGCTGGCCATCAGGGGAGGGGTCCCCGATGTGCCCTGAGAACAGGTGTTAGGCTGTCCTCCGCGGGGCAGTGGCCCTGCAGGTGAAGCTGTTCTCCAGCCTTCCCACAGCACTATTTGGGCTTGCATTCCCAGGGAGCCTGGCTGACTGCTCTGCCCTTCCCAGTGTGGATGGGGCAAGAATGCAAAATAAAGACAGCCCAACCGGCTGCTATCCACCCATTCCTCCAGACAGCCCAAAGGCTGAGTTCCCTACTGTCTAGGCACATGACCCCAGCAGAAGGTTGCCACCCTTGGGTGGGTGGGGGAGGCTGGTGGGCGTGGCCTGTCGACACTTGCCCAGCCATTGGGGGAATTGGCCTGGCCGTCGCCCCTACACCCTGGTACTCTGTCCAGGGTCAGTCACACCAGATGCCCCCCCGCCCCGGGCCACAGAACGGGGATGGGAAGGGTTAGGAATTGAGCGGTGAGCAGGTGTGTCCGCTTGCAGGGGCTGTGACTCCCAGGGAGGTCCCTCTCCACTCGCTGCGGCCCTGGTGTCCTGTAGGTTGGTCCACAGGACCCGCAGGAAGGGCTGAGCCTCTAGCCTCAGGAAGGATCTGGCCGCCTGGGAGGACGAGAGGGCGGTAGGAGCGGTCCCCGGGTCAGTCTGGACAAGCTCGAAGGCGTGGAGACTGGGGACACGTGGCTGAACCCCTTCTGGGAGATCTGAGAGAGAACGAACAGTGCCATTGCTTGCCATCCATCGACGCTGTCTGCCACTGAGCAAGAGTGGGGGCTCACGGAGGGCGTTTTGGGCACGCCCTGGCAGACGGCACAGGCCCCAGTGAGCACAGAAGTCGACGATGGTCTGTCCAGAGCACAGGCAGGGAGCGTGGGGGCGGGAGGCACCTGGGAATGGCGCGACGACCCCGGCGCGCCTGCACTCCAGGAGCAGAGGCACAACTTGAGGGCAACGGGTTTAAGGAATGGTTTTATAGAATAAACCGAGAAGTCTTCTTTGGTGCGGTTGAGGGCCATGCTGGCGCGGGACTGGGTGTGAAGGGCACAGTGTAGAATAAGCCGCGACTAGGGCGGGGCTGTCGCTCAGCCCGCTGGGAGGAAGCGCGCGCGGACGCCGCGCTCCAGCCCTGGCAGCCCCGCGGCACGCAGAGCTGCCAGCAGCTGTGCGAGCAGTGGCGTCCTCGGCGCCTCGCCAAGCTCCGAGAGCCGCCGCCGCAGCTGCGTCTGCAACGCCGCGCGGCCCTCCCTGGATGGGGACAGACTGGGGGCCCCTGGGCCCCCTAGGGCCCGCTGCAACCGCTGTAGCCTTTTGAAGGAGATGTCCTGGAAAACTACGAAGTCGATGACGGCGCGCTCGCACTCCTCGGTCCCTGCAGGGCAGTGCAGTGGAGGGGCGCGTGTCACTGAGTTCACAAAGGAACTGCGCTGAATGTGATGTCAGGGTGCCGGGGAATACCGGGCGAAGGTGGAGGGGAAGCCAAGCCCCGAGCGAGCTCCCTCCTGGCCGGAGTGCGGGATGCCCGATGGGGTTGGGGCGGGCCCAAGGATCGGCCCTCCCCTCCGAGGCTCTCAACCTGGAGCTCCCGGGAGTGTTTGCCAGTGCCACCGCGAGAGAGTGGCGGGGCCCCTCACGGGAGGCTCAGCGCAACCCGATCTTCTTCCTCAGCCCCCCAGAAGACGCTGCGGCCCCTCCCCACCCGCCTGCTCACCTGGCTCTCCGGGACTGCCGGAGCCGAGCGCGAAGCCCGCGCAGCTGGTGCACAGGGTGTCCCGGGAAGAGGAGCCCGGCACGTTGAGGGCAAGGCCCAGGGCCGTGCAGTTGCGGTGAGGGCGGCACTCCTCAGAGCTCGAGCTGCTGGCTGAGAAGGTACCAGCGGGGCAGGGCTGGCACTGCGTGTTCCGGCTGGGGGTGCCTGGCGGGAAGGAGAGGAGGGCAGGGTCAGCGGGTGCCTTTGCCCGGAAGAAACGCTCCGGCCCTCTCCGCGCCCACCACCCACCCGGGGCAGTTACTCCGGCGCCGGGCGGACAGCGCTGGTGCTCCAGGCAGAAGCCAGCGTGTGTGAAGAAGCCCGGGCGGCAGCGGCAGGCGCGGTTGTGGGTGGCGCCGCACGCCCGCGCCTCTTCCTCGTGCTCCCCGCAGATGACATTGCAGTAGCGGCAGCGCTCCAGGTAGTTCCAGAACTGCGTGTAGTGGCGCGGCGGGCACGCATCGCAGGTCGTGGGTTGGCCACGGCGGCACGGCCGCTTCACGAAAGTGCCCGGGGGACACTGGGCACAAGTCAGCCACTCCTGCGTCGCCGTGTCCCGCCACGGGTACGTGGGTGTATCCGCTGTCCCGCGCACGGCCAGCGCTAGCAGCAGGGTTGGCAGCGCCCATGGCGGGTGCAACAGCCACTGACCCCGCCTCTCTGGTGCCCTCATAGTCCTCACCGGAGCGGGCACAGCACAGCGTGTCTGCCGTCGATGAGCCCTTGCTCGCCTCCCCGAGTGCAGGCCCAGGCCTGGCTCTCCGCCCCACGAGCTGCAGCTTTGCTGCCAGGCAGCCACTATATGGGCCACAAAGGGCGGGCGGGCCAGCCTCGCCTCGTCACGCCCTGCGGGAACCCCCTACTTCCACCCACCCCCACCCCGCCAGCTGACCCCAGTGCTGCGCAGGGCGGCTCCCAGCTGAGCCCTGGGGCGTGCGTGGTTGGCGCCAGGGCATGAGCGGCCACGCAGGGAAGGGGCCATGTTTCCCACAGACCAGTTCCCATGGGGCTCGCCCAGTGATCAACGCTTACGTAGCCACTGTCCGCACTTTTTATTAAACCCTGTCCCTGAATAAGAGCAGGCTCACAGCTCAGGCAGCAGCACTCACAAGCCAGCGGCACGGAAATCTCTGGGAAAGGGACATCTTCCAGGTCCCACGAGCCACAGCTCCCACCTGAGGCCCGCAGTGGGCCTGGCAGCGAGCAGGAAGCCAGCCTCCATGTCGCAATGTGGGAGGTGGCCCGTGGCCCACAGCAGGGCTGGACAGGCCAGTGTGGAGCCACATCAGGGCCCTGCAGTGTCTCCATGGATGCTTACTGGTGCTTCGGCCAGAAGACCTGTGTGAGGCTCTGCTTCCTCGTGGCAGCAAAGCAGGCTGGACACGTCCTAGAGCCCTGTGGAGACACAGGCCACTGGACATGCCTGCTGGACACTGCAAGCGCTTGAGAGTGTGCCCCCACCCACCTTGGCTGAACACCTGCAGTGATGCCTGGTAGGGATGAGAGCCAGGCACCAACCTGGAGGTGCTGTAGCCAGCAGGCCTGGCAGCGGTGCAAGTCACAGGAGAGGCACTGGAAGGTCACTGTGTCCTCTGCCCCGCAGCCTGGGCACGAGAAGCCTGCTGCAAGAGGCCCGCCTGAGTTTGCTGGGCCTGCTCCAGTGCACCCCCAAGCCTGGTAGTCCCTGCAGCCCCTCCTATGATTTACCATGGTCAGGAAGCCCAGGGGGCAGGCTGGGCTCCTCACCATCATCTGGAGTCTGTTTAAGGAAGGAAAAGATCTTGCTCTGGACCCTTCTGGGTCTTTGCAACAGTGAAGGACCTGCAGATGGGAGTGAGTCAGAGGGCTGTCAGGAACTTCCTCCGGATCCCCTGGGGGCCGACAGGGCAGGGTGGCAGACCCCCACCTGACTGGGGAGCCCCATGGGAAAGTTCAGGTGTGGTGGGGCTCTCTTCCAGGGGGCCCAGTTCTCTGCCCGAGGCGGGCAGCCCCATCAGGTCTGCGCAGGTCTGCAGGAAGTGCTGCTTGTGGTGGGGACGCACGAACATGCTGAACCCTGCAGGGAGCTTCATTCAGGCTGAGCCCTTCCCTGAACATCACCTGGCCCAGTCTACCCCTTCTCCACATCCCCCTAGTCCCACCTCACCCCCAGCAGGGCCACTTGCTTTGCAACAGGGGGAGGTCCTCGGGCCGTGCTGTGGTCAGTGCAGCCAGCACAGCAAGCACCTTGTCGAAGTTGTCATCCTGTTTGTACACCTTCAGTGCTGCCAGGAGCTGTCTGTGGGCTGCGCACCCCAGGGCCTCTCGGATGTCTGCCAGATAGGCACTCGCAGCAGACTGGCCCTGTTCTACTGTGGACCACACTTCTGGACAGCTGTGGGTGTCTCCTAGGTGTATATAGCATGGATGGGGACAGTGTTGGGGGTCCAGAGTCCCTCTCACCTCTGCCTGCCTTTCCCCCCAGGAACTGCTGGAGAGCCCTTCATGTTGGTTGGGACAACTGTAGGCTGCAGAATCGAGTAGCACAAGAACACACACACTGCTGTTCAGCCCCATGGGTGACTGGTTCAAAGCTGCTCTTGTTTTTGTTTTTTTGGTACCAGGGATCGAACTCGAGTCCTTGAGCTTGCAAGGCAGGTGGCAGAGCCACTAAGCTAAATCCCTGGCCCTCAAAGCTGCTCTTAAGCCAGACTGTGACACCTGATCCTCTTACAACTACAGACCTGACCTGGCATCTGCAGGAGCCAGGTGCCTTCGGGGGGTAGCCTGGTGGACAGGTGAGGCTCACCCTGGTTCAGGTGCACTCCAGGATCTAGCTGCTTGGCCACCTCCTTGGATTGGGTCAGCGTGGGCTCAGGACCCCTCTTCCCTGAAGAAACATGTTCCTGAGGACCTGAAGAGTCCCAGGGCAGAAGGCAGGCCTGGCCGGGGGTGGTCAGGATTCACAACCCTTCTCGACCTGACACACAGAGGCTTTGGGCACTGGAGAAGCTGCTAGTCCCACTGGGAGGGCAGGGCTTTGTCCCTCAGCTGGGCGCTGGGGCCGCAGGGGACAGCTGAAGCACTTATCACCCCAGTGGGCACCAAGCCCAGAGGGGTGTGGTCTTCCTGATCATTGGAGGCCTCTCTGGGTAACCCTAGGGTGGGCTGATCTTCAGCAAGCATGGGAGCAGGTGCTGTCACTCTAGACGGACTCTCAGCTCTGCTTAGACAGAGGCAGGTAGGAGGGCAGACAGATGCTAGTGTAGGACCATGGCATATGCACCTGACCTCCCAAATGCAGGTCTCTTCTGGAGGTCTGGACTCAGCACTGTGCTTGCCCTACAGGGACCCTTATCACCCCCACAAAGAAGCAGGGCAGCTGGGCCAAGCCCAACCACCTCAGCGCTCTAGGTGCCCCCACTCCGGGGTCTGAGGCTGATGTCCCCGTTGGGCCACTTACCACTGGGCCCCAGGGCTGGCAGTGCCTGCTGCCTGTGGGAAAGGCCAGGCTCTGGCCAGCTACTGCAGCCTTGACCAGTGAGCTGAATGCAGATGTCCTTAAACTGCTGTTTGTGGTGGGGCCGCACAAACTGGTAGAAGCCTGTTGGGGAGGGTTAAGTCCAGACCTATAGATTCCATGCCCTTCAGCCACAGGGCTGGGGACCCTGGGGACCATGAGCTGCCCACTCGGCTCCTTCCAGAAAGCAAGAACAACTTGGGGCCGTAGTAGCCTCCTGCCCATTCTGGCAGCCCCCACCCACTGCACAGCTGTGGCCCTGTCCATGGCAGAGCCTTCTGCAGGCTAGGGCACCTTGGAGCAGGGTGTGCTTCTTGGGGTCTTCAGCAAAGAGGCAACTGAGGCAGTCCATCAGTGCTTTGAGGTCATCGGAACCCTTGTAGACCTTCAGGGCCTGGGTAAAGGTGTCAAAGCTAGCTTGGCTCAGTGTCTGCTTCACAGCCACCATGAACAGCTTGGCTCGCTCTTCCTGTGTACCAGCTTCTGGCTTCTCCTGATGGACACATGCCCAAGGCCACTGTCAGGACCAGCCCTGTCCCTCCTGCCCCCAGGGCAGTGCAGACCCCAAGACTCCCAGGGCCTGTAGGTGCTGCTGCCTGGTGGGGACAGAGGGTGGAGGGCCCCTGGAGGAGAAGCTCCAGTCCTGGAGCATGGGTGGCCTCGGCCTGGCTGGGGTCACACCAGAGGCAGCCAGGAGGCCTGTAGAACCCACAAGTTCTCCTCCCCAAGGCAGGTACAGCTAGAGCTGAGCTCTAAGAACCAGCAGCTCACAGCAAGGGGCGTGCTCCACAGACTCCAGCCCACTTCTGCGTGCCTCAGACCCAGAGAAACCAAAGCAAAGATGGCACAGCCAGCCCCCACCTTGCCCTGCCCAGCCCACAGAGGGCCTAGCCTTTTAGCAGCCAGTCCACTTCCTGCAGGCACCAGCCCTAGCTGGGCACTGCCTGGTTCTTCCCAGAAGCTGAGGGACATGGACAAAAGCAACCACACTTGGGGCTTTCCAGCAGGCAAAGGGGCTTCCTGCCTCAGCCTGTTAATCAGTTGCTTTCATCTGAGACTGGGGACATTCTGTACTGCCTCACACAGGCCAGAGCTACAACTCAGGAAAAGCCAGGGCCAAGAGGACAGTGGTCCACCATCGCTGGGAGAATCATGGATGGCTGCAGGCCCTGAACAGAATGTACCCAGGGGCTGGGCCAGATTCTGGCTGGGAAAGATGGGCTCTCACGGAAGGAACTGCAAACAAACTCCCTGGGCTTTCAACATCTCAGCTACCCAGGAAGTCCATTTCCATGGGTCTGCTCTGGCTCACACCCCTGCTTGGTTGGGGGCCACCTGTGCAGGAGCCAGATTTCCAGACTGTACGTGAGCGGCCAGGGAGACTGCAGAGAGGGCTCACATACCTGGTGGCTGACCAGCCTGACCTTCTTCCTTCCTCCTCTCTGCTCATCAGCCAGCCTCTTCTCACACTGAAGGGACAGGGTAGACCGACCAACTGCCTAAAGGGGACACAGCTGTGGTCTCAACCCAACCCTGAGAGTACCTGTGACATCCCTCGGCTCCCCACGATCCCTGGTAAGAGCCTGAACAGAAGCCCGGTGTGGGAGGAGGTCTTGCCAGACCTCCACACCATCTTCTGAGTTAAGCCACCAGCCCTCATGGCTTGTAGGTAGCGTGTGACAGCAGCCACAAGGACAGTTTTGTGCTAAGTGTGGGCTGTGAGCACAGGCTCAGCTCAGGGGCCTCCCAAGCAGGCATGGAGGGGAAGGAATGGCTCCCAGGAATAAGCAGGAAGCAGGGAGGAGCTCCAAGTGAAGCTCAGAAAACTATGGGCTATTAGGCAAAGGCCATAGGTAAAGGGGAGAAGGAACTTGGGGCCCATCCCACAGACCAGGCCCTAAGAAAGACCAGCTCTGGGTGAGCAGGTGGCAGGAGGCACCACACTTGTGGGCTGTGCAGGCTGACCTGCCGGGAGCCAGTATAGTGGGAGCTGAGGGTCAGGGTGCACCTCTCTGGGTAGCAAGTGGCCTGGGGCCACGGGCACAGCATGACCGGGGGTCTATCTGTCCACCTGCCCACTGGGAAGGGAACCAAGGAGTAAGAAAGGTGCCAAGGCCAAATGGGTAGGGCCTGGGCTGGCCTCAGGAGTGGAGGGGCCATGTCATCCTCAGGCATCTCCCTCCCTGCCCTAAACCACCTCCTTCCCAGGGTAGGCCTCATCCTCAGGTGCCCCAGCCTTCTGCTCGCTGTGCTCCAGGGCAGCCAGCAGCCCCATGGGCCTCCACGGGGCTGTGACTGGCTCCTGCTCATACTCCACACACAGGTTGCTCTCTGGGTCCTCCACAGCCGGCGATCCTGTAGGAGCATTGGTATGGCAGCAAAGCTTACCGGAGGCCAGCCTGCAGGAAGCAACTAGTCCTGCCAGGTGGGCTCCTGCCTCTGCCCTGCATGGCCCTCATCCAGCCCCACACACCTGCTGGCTTCTGCCTCAGGCTGGGCACATGCACGTCTAGACTTGTGGCTTTTCTGGTTGCGAGGAGAGGTCCAGGCAATGTGGTCACCTTGGCAGCAGCTTTTCCCTCACCCACACCTGGGGCCAAAGCCCTGGGGACTGGGGCGGGCATCTGCAGAACGAAGGGTGTGTGAGGGCTGCCTCTGTGGCTCCTCGGGTGGGGGGACACCCATCCCCCCTTGGGCAGAGTGTGAGGCAGCCGGGCATTCGGGTGCTCACAGTTCTCTGAGCAACACGGAAGAACTGGGCTACATCCCGGATGACATGGCCAAAGTTGTTGTACACCTTGAGGTAGGGGCGCACCCAGGAGGGCAGCTGGGCTTTGGCATCTGCATAGGTGAACCTGGAGGGATATGCAGCCATCAGCCCAGCGTGCTCTGCTCAAGGGCCCAAGGCCAGCCCTCCCTGTAGCTCATACCACTACTGCACAGAGGTCTCCAAGTGGAGCCATGAAGCTCAGACCCCACAGAGCCAGAGGCTACCATGGCCTTCACGGAGGGGAAGAAGGTCCAGGGCAGAGAAAGCCCTTGAGCAGTGGGAGCATGTGGGGTGGCTAGGTGGAGCCCTGTCAGTACCTGTGGTCACACAAGAAGATGGCCCCATAGTCATGGCGGTGCCTGATGACCCGCCCAATGGCCTGGTTCACAGCCCTGGACGCCTGCTGCCGGTACCATTCTTGCCCTGAGAGGAACTACAGGGCAAGAGTCTCAAGCACAGAGACCCCTGGTCACTGGGTCCTTGCTTTTTCCCTGCCCCTGGCCCTGTGGTCTCACCTGGCCTCCAGCTTGGCTCTGGCCCCGCATCTCATCCAGGAACTGCATCTTGAGGACAACCCGAGGATCCATGCGTGGGGGATACGGGAGGCCCGTGATGATCACACCACGACCATTTATGTCTGAGAAGTCCAGCCCCTCGCTGGCCTAGGACACAGACCCAGGAATTGCCTAGGGGTGGCGGGCATTCCCCTTCCCTACTTGCTTTTCCGAAGCTTGGCACTTTCCTCAAGGGTCCATCTATATCCTAACCTCAGCCACCTCTCCCTACTACGGGGAGAGGTAGAAGGAAGCTCCTCTCTTGGGCCAGGCCCTCCACAGCTCCCAGAACCCCATGACCAACACCCCCATGCTCAGAACCTCCTGTGTCTTGCCTCTCCCTGGCCTATGCCAGCCAGGGCCCAGCAGGCCCCATAGCTCCACTCCCTCATCTGTTTGCGCGATGTGGGGCCCAAGGCAGGGATGGACCTGTGCCCTGAGGGCCTGATGAGCCCTGAGCCCCTACCAGAGGCCAGGCAGGGACTCAGACTCACAAAGGCCTCACCTTGCCCCGGCACACCGCCAGGAAGGTAGCCCCACTGGACCCAGGGGAGGCGACACGCTGGTAATAAGCATCGATGACCTAGAAGGCGAGGACAGTCACCCCAAGCTCTGAGCCCCAGCCCCTTCCTCCTCAAGTCATGATGACCCCACAGCTCACCCTGGGAAGAAGGCCTCATCCCGGCCACACCCAACCCACACGCAGCGCCCAAAGCCGGTTCAGTTTCCCCGTGAACACAGGGAACCCCAGGGTGAGGGCAGCACGTAGGGCATGAGGGTCAGCTGTCACTGTCACCATGTCCAAATGCTTTTAGCAACTTTCTAAACAGCTACACACCCAGGGACAGGGAGGCAGCCCAGGCCCCTGAAGAGGCAGCCTGGAGCCAGCCAGAGCCCCGGGTCAGAGATGGAGGCCATCCCAGGAGCCTCCAGGGGCTGCGGGGTCAGCAGGCCCAGAGTCCAGGTTGGGCACAGACCTCTGAGAAGCTGCCTTTGCTTCTGGGCTCCACAAACAGAGGTTTCAGCACCTCCACCTTCCTGGCCAAGTCTCGGGCCTGTGGAAGGAAGTCAGGACGTGCACAGGCCAGGCACTCACCCACTGGACCTGCGCAAGCTCAGGGCTCCCACAGCTGCCTCTGTACCCTGGCACTGCCCACCCACCTGGCCTCTTGGAGGGGAGGGGAGGGGTCGTACCCGCCAGAAGGCCAGGCTGTTCTCCATGACAGGGTAGGAAGGGAAGAAGACCAGAAGCCCATGGGGCACTACACGGGCGATGTTGCCTGGAAGCAGAGGACTGGTCAGGATAGGTGCTGGGCGTCTGCAGACTTCCACCGCCCTTGGGAAGAGGGACTGCGTACGCTGGCCTCAGTGGGACAGCTGGGGACACGGGCTTCCCAAAGGAGACAGGCTCCCATGTGGAGCACACTTACTCACCCAGAGTCTTCCCCAGAGAGGACAAGCACTCCTCAGAAAAACTGCACAAAGCCAGAGTGGTGTCTGCTGTGAGTCCCAGGGCTCAGCCATGGGCCCCACCCCGCTCCAGTGCGGCCCCGAGACCAGGACCCCTTACCGCTTGTCAAATGCAGAGCTCAGTTCTGCTCCATCGGGGCCTCTGGGGATGACCCCCACCCAGAGCTGGTGCTTGTCGATGACGTGTGGGTTCTCCAGGCAGACTGGGAAGGGGCTGGGACAGACCATGGGCAGCCCCTCAGGTCCGGGACAGCAAGAACCCCGGCCTACAACCCAGGCCAGCACTCCCCACACCCAGCACATTCCCAGAACTCAGCCCTACATCTGCATCTCCAGGACGAAAGAGGACAGCGGGGCCAGTGTGCCGCTGGTGAGGATGACAGTGCGGACACCCTGGCGGAGCAGCTCCTGCATGCTGTGGCCCGGGCTGAAGCACCAGTAGCTCAGTACCTTCCCTGCAGGGGAATGGGGCTTGAGGACTGGATCAGGATGACATCATCATCTTCCCCACCCACCAGCAGCCACAGGGGCCCAGAGTGCAGCAGTCAGAACAAAAGGTCTGGCCTGAGACCCAGCTCAGCCTGCAAGCTGGGCCCCTCCGCCAGGAGTCAGGAGTCTGGAGAGCAGGAGACGGGCCTAGGAGAATGCTAGGTGACACCTAGAGTGGGGTAAGCCAATCCTAACTCTACAGGAACTGTGACGTGCGGCACAGGGCTAAGAGCCACTCTGTCAAAAGCACACGGGGGGCCAGGGATTCAGCTCAGTGGTTCCAGCCCCTGCCGTGCAAGCGCAGGGTCCCAAGTTTGATTCCCAGTACGAAAGAAAAATACATGGGAAGGAAACTGTTTGACCTTCTGACATTCCAAGCACAATCGCAAAAGAGAAAGAGAGAACAAGTTCCCAGACTGGTCACGGCAGCATCCAGCAAGGTCACTGGTTCAGAGGAAGCTCAGAGCTCCTCACAGTGCCTGTCTGGCTGGAGCACAGCTACGGCCTCCAACTTGCTCTGGCAGTCTCCGGAAGTTCCAGAGCTTAAAACAGCACCAGTAGAATGACTTTAAATGAGACTCTAAAGCCAGGACCAGGCGCCAGCAGGGACAAGGGCAAATTTCCTGAAAAAGGCAAAGCCACATTTTCAGGCCTGAGGGGTTTTGTCAATCCTGGGATAGAATCTGCCTGGCCTGGGGACTGTCTGGGGCTGTCCTTCAAGAAGCAGTCCACCTCGATGAGCTAATTTCCGGGAAACACCCTACCCAGCTAGGGCTACTTCTGAGAAGTCATATGATTTCAGAGGTAGAAAAGAGCTACACCCTACTTTTCCTCTCGTACCTGGGCAACCCTCAGGGCTCCTATGGCCTCACAAGTGCTGTCCCCAGCCTCAGGAAAGACTTCCTGCGGGGAGAGGCCATGCTGCAAGGTGTGGATGAGTCAGAGAGCCTGGCCACCCACAGCTCAGGCTGATCTTGCCCAGCCCTCCCCTCCTCTTCCCACTAGGTGAGGCACACTCAAGCCTCAGCGTCCATACTCTGTCCAGGCAGCCCGGAGCCTGAGTCAGCTAGCAGCCAGAGAAAGAGTGGTCCAGAGGCAAAGGCAGTGCTGTGAGACCCTTTGAGGGCTGCAGCAGACCTGCAGGTGCCTGACCTAACAGCTCCCAGGAGCCCCAGCTGTGGGGCCACACTCACTGCTGGCCACCAGGGCTAAATACCATGTGGTGTGGGTAGGACCAGCTCCACCCAAGAGCCCCAGTGCTCCAAGATCACAGGCTCCCAGGCCCCCTCTGTGCAGCCCCTCACCAAGCCCACTCTAAGACACCAAGATGCAGGGGAAGCCCTGGAGGTACAAGAGAGGCTTGAGCTCACTGCAGGAACTTGGACATGACCTTGGTGCCTAAGGAGTGGTCTCCTGGAAGTGTGGCACAGGACCTGCAGGGCCTCATCACAGTGCTGGCTGGCCAAGGGACAAAAGCAGTTCTGCACTGATCAGCCTTGCCTGAGTGTCCAGGGAGGGGGAGAAGGGCCTTGGCTCTGCCACTGCCCACAGGGTGACCCTGTGCAGTCACAGGGTGGTCAGACCTCCTTCAAGCTCTAACTTTCAGAGGGCAAGTGAAGAGGCCATAGGCGTGCCTGGCCCAAGGAGAGGTGGTGCTGGGTATGCACTGAGGCCAGGCAGGGGAGCAGGTTCCAGACCCGAGGTGCTGTACCTTGCTTTCTAGATGCAGCAGCACTCCAAGCATCTGACCGCTGAGCCGCCCTCCGGGGCCCAATGTCAGGGTGTATGTGCACCTGGAGGAGGAGCATGTACAGGTGTGCTGAGGCCCTAACTGGGTCCTAGAGATAGCCCCAGCCCTGCCCTCATCCTGGAGGTATCTCCCACCTTATAGGACTGTGAGATCCCAGGACTGCCCTCAGTGGGGTCCACACTGAACACGATCTGAAAGGCAAGGAAGCAGAGCACATGGGTCAGAACCTGAGGCAAGAGCACAAAGCCTTTTGTGGTAGGACAGGGAAACTGAGGCCTCGTGGCCCAACACATAGGAGCCCTGAGGCTATCTTGTCCTTCTCTGAGTCACCCCACACTCACCCACATGCTCAGGGGCTCCCCTGGCCCTGCTATCCAGCCTGACTGCATCCTCAGGCCAAGTAGCAGCAGCTCACACCTGCCTGTCTTTTCCCCCTTCCAGGGGCAATCTCTACACACCTGTGAGCTTCCCCTCCAGCCAATGTACCACCCTCCCTTTGTGCCCCTTAGGATTGCAAAATAATCTGGAAATGCAATACATCCCGGTCAGGACGACACAAGATTCCTACAGGATGTGAACAAGCCAACACCAGAGTCTCAGAGGAATGAAAGGAATTTGTTCTGGCCAGTATCAGAACCTACAGGAACTGCAGAAAGTAAGAATGAGTAGAGGCCCAGGGATTTAGCTCAGTGGTTCCGCCGCCTGTCTCACAAGCGCAAGGTCCTGAGTTTGATCCCCAGTACCAAAAAAGAAAAAGAATGAGTACAACAATGACACTAATGACAGAAGCAAGGTGGAGCCTGGGGGCAGCAAACACCTGACTTATGACAGGAAAAGGTAGATTTGTGCCCCTCATATCCCTCACAGAGACCTGTAAACGGATCAAAGCCTACGAGCTAAGCTAGACAACCCCACAGAACACGAAACCAGACAAGACCAGCCAGCCAGATAGGTCAGGAGACACAAGCCATGGGACAGAAGTCTTTACCACAAGAGACCTCTATTCACTGAACCCTCCCAAAGATGGAAAAAGACGTGCAGAGAGCATACATATTGCCTGTGACTCAACACTCAAGATTTATGAAGAGCCCTGCAAACCTGTAAAAAAAACCCAACTAACACACAGGAAAGTCTCACAGAAAAGGAAGGGTAACTGGCCAAAATGTACATGATGGTCACTACACGGAAGACAAGAAGCCATGACAGGGTTTGCTTAGCAAACTGGCCACCCTGGCTTCAGAGCACAGGGACAGGCACAGCAGCTTCCATAGGACTCCCACTGGCTCCACGAGGCACCGCCCCAACAGTGAGAAATGGGAATCGTCCACAGGCAAATGGAGGAAACCGCTAACTCTTTGCAAAGCACACTGCAGGGACCGAGACAGCACAAACACAACTCATGGACCAACAAGCCTGTTCTCAGCAAACCAGAAAAACCCGAGGCCGCCCAAAGTGAGGACATGCCACAGCATGCCGTGCACACACTGCTGGAGCAGAAGCGTCTGTCTCTGGTGTGCTGCATGGGTATGGGCACATGCACGGGTCTGTGTTCGCGTACACCTGTGCACAGCAGGTACAGGGTTATGCACAGAGGGCACAGTCTGGCATGAGCACAGCCTATAGCTATCTTCACTGTCACGACAGCTGCCCCGACCACACAGCATAGGGTCCAAAGCCAGGACAGCGGTGGGAGATGACAAAAAATTGGAAAATAATAAGAAAGAAGGCGGGCCGGGGATTTAGTTCAGTGGTGCTACTGCCTGCCTCACAAGCACAAGGTCCAGAGTTCGGTCCCCGGTACCAAAAAAAAAAACAACCAATAAACAAACAAACAAACAAACAAAGAAGGCAAAATTATGTTTTATAGCTGGGACCAGGTGGGACCATATCCTGACGAGCTGATGGCCTCCTGGTCCAGTGCGCTCTTTATGTATAGTGTAGGAAGGCAGGGTAGCTAGTGCCAAGGCCCAGAAAAGGAACAAGGACATGTAATGTGAATGTCTCCTGGGGCTGTGCCACCCAGGGTCTGCAATCTACGGAGGAGAAAGGGAGTAGGGAAGAGAAGAGGGGCCATCTTCAGGCTTGGCCCGCGGCAGACAGCCACACAGCAAGCTCCACATTTTACCAAAGCCTTGGTCTGCAGAGACAGACAACAGAAGCTCATTTCAGGGTGGAGGCTGCCAGGAGCGGCCCACACACATCAAGGGACAGGCAGGAGTTTTACACATGGCCAAGCTTCCTCATTCCTGGGCATATCACGGCGACCCTGTTCCCTATACAGGATGCCTGTCACCATTGCCCACCTTCCCTGAAACCCCGTCACTGTACTTTCAGGTTTCATCACCACTTAAACTGCACATCTCCAAATGCACGTCCCAGGGCACTGCCCCTAGTGGGCACCCCTCGAGGACATTGTCTATCTGATGCCCATTAGGCCTATGGTGGCCACGCAGGGTAGTCCCTCTGCCTGGCTCCAGAAGCGCCAGGAGGACCAGCTTCCCATCTAGGCTGCGTGAGTGTGGCCTCAGTGTTCTCTCAGGGGCATTTCTGCTTCTGCGCCTGCACCTGCTCCTGCAGGGCTTCATCAGCAGCCTGTTCCCCCCACACCTTGGTCACAGGCTTAGACCCTCCCTCTGATGCAAACTGGGAGGGGGACTGGAGTTGAGGAAGTCTGGCCCACTCCTCCCTGTGCTCCATGTGGGCAGTCTAGAGATACCCTCACTCCCCCTGGACCCAACCAGCCTCTCAGAGAAGGACAGAGCTCCCTGACCCTGCTGGGGGCCTCATAATAACCATGAGCTTCCCGAGGAATCCACAACAGTCAACTCATTTGTAAACTTAAAGGATAGGAGCTATAGTCTGAACTTGGCTCCATCTCTGGCTGACACATCACTTGGCCCTAAAACACCTGAAAAGGTTTGCCAGATATGGAGAAGAGCAGTGATAACCCTAGGTGACTAGGAAAACAGCACTGCCACCTGGGCAGGACAAGGCATGAAGGGAAAACCTCACCCCACTGGTGCGTGTGCTGAATGCCCAGTGCGTATCCGATGTAAGCAAGGAGCAGGGGCTCCATTCCAAGGAACTCAGACCCACTGTCTGCACGTCCTGCCTCAGACTGGCCTTCTGTGGCCCAAAAAGGTCCTGTGGCACCTAAGCTCCAAGGACAGGTCAGCCACAGCCCTGTGAGCACTGCCCAAGCTGCACACTCATGGCCTGGTGAAAGCACCTGGCAACTGCACGGGGCCCAGGAAGCAGGTGTGAGGTGAGCAACTCATTAGTCAGTCCCTCAATCGGGGGCATGCTAGTGAGGATGTGGCTGGCCCAGCACCTCCAGGGCCAGGCAGGGGAGCTGTCATCTGCCAAGAGTGGCAGGCAGCCAAAGGAAATTCCAAACCAACAGGGTAACCTGCTTTGGATTCCAGGGATTTTTGAGGAGAAACATCCATTAATGGGAAGGCGGAGAACCCGCATTCCCAGGAGGAGAGGAGGCTGCACCCAGCCCATACCTGCTCTCTAGGCCCAGGATCTGCAGCTGACCTTGGGGCCTACACAGGTAAGGGAAGAGCATGTTCCTGGGAGCTGCTCCTGACACATGGACCTGTTCATCTGCAGTGATTGATCAGAATACTGAAAGCAGTTTGCCTGGCCAGAACAGGGCCTCCCACCATAGGAGCCAAGGATGTTCCAGGGCAGACAGCCTAACAGTCACTGTGGACGGTACAGGGGCTTGGGCAGCCTGGGAGTCTGGACTCCACAGAGAACCAGTGGTCATACCCAGGCCATCACCCTGGGCAGCAGACACTCTGGGAGCACTCACCGAATGGTCACTCCACTCAGACTCCTCCTGCCCATCCTACCATGACCTCAGGTGCCTGGAGGCACAGCATGGCCAGAAGTACTCAAGAGGAAACCTCACACGGTTCCACACAGTATAGTGCCTCCTGGGCCTGTGTCCTCCAGGGCTCCTGAGGTCTCAGTCAGGGCTCCTAATGGCCTGCTTCCGAAAACCTAGCAAGGTTCAACAAAAGGAAGATGGTGCCCAGGGCCTCCAAACAGCACCTTACCCAACCTCAAGCACTTGGAGAGATACTGGCTTATCCACTGGGCCTGAGGAAATGGCTCAGCTGGGCCAAAGGAGACAGCTGGACCTCACAGACAGGAAGAAGGGTGCTACTGAAATGCACACTATGGAGCAGGAAGAGACCTGAGGCAGGGGTCTGACTTGTCTGTCTTGCTGTCTCTTTCCCTCTTCCAGTGACTCCAGTTACATTTCTCTCAGTCAGAGGCTTCCATATTCAAGCTTCTCTTCATCAGGAGTTCCCATAGTCACCCTTTTCTCTATCAGGGGCTTCTACAGTCGTGTTTCTCTCTTTCTCTCTCTCTCTCAGGGTCCTCACGCAGTCATGTTTATCTCTGAGTTCTCACACAGCCAAGTTATCTCTGTAAGGAACGCCAACACTGGCCTTTCCTTGTGTTTGTCAGATGCTCCCACGGTCATACTGTCTCTGTTAGATGCTCCCACCGTCACAGTGTCTCTGTCAGATGCTCCCACGGTCACACTGTCTCTGTCAGGTGCTCCCACGGTCACACTGTCTCTCTGTCAGAGCCTCCCACAGGCACTCTGTTAGGAGCTCTTTTACGTGTGTCTCTCTCTTCATCAGAGGCTCAAAGAACAGGACAGTCACATGCCCCTCATTTGTCTTTCCCTGAGAAGTTGCTCAGTAAGTCACTTGTCTCCAGATATTTCCTGGTTTGAGCCCATTTGGAGCTGCTGGGCCTATCTATAAACCAAGGGGTTCTGCCCAATCCTAAGGGACGTTGGCAGGGATAAGATGCTCCTGGCTCTAGCCCTGTAGTGCTACCTTGGGTGTGTCTGGCCACTGAATAGCCAAGTATGGCGAGACCTGTCCTTCTCTGGCCTCCCTTAGAGGCCTACAGTGGGTTCAAGGCAGGAGGAAATAAACTTATGAGTTTGCTAATCGGAAACATGTGGTGTGGGGCCTTTGTCCAGTCCCTGAAGCTCTTGCCTTGACTTCTATCTGGAAAAGAGATGCCTGCAAGTTCCTACCTGGATGATGTCCATGAGCTTCTGCAGCCCAGCCGTATTGGTGAACACTCCGGCACCTGTAGGGGCAGTGAGAAGCTGATATTCAAACCACAGGTAGGTCGTATCCACCCAGACCCCACATGAGCCAGCATGATCACATGGCCAACCTCCACCTCATAGCTGCTGGGTAATCAGCTTCCCCTAACAGAGTGTGTGGTATGGGATATGCTAAGGGAGGGCGGCTAGCCTGCTCTTCCTAGAGTGTCAAAGAGGAGCTGAGGGGAACAGGCTCTCCAGAAGAGTCTTGGAGATAGTCTGTTGGACTCAAAAAGGCTCTGTTGGGCTGGGGATTTGGCTCAGTGGTTCTGCTGCCTGCCCTGCAAGCACAAGGACCCGAGTTCGATCCCCAGTACCAAAAAAAAGGCTCTGTTGTCAAATGAGTCCAGGAGCCCACGGCCCCCAGTGCCCAGGAGCTCAGCAGACTCCAGAGTCCTGTGTCTCAAACCGCCCCAAGACCCCGCCCAGCAGAAAGGGTTTTCACAGGTTTCAGCCTGGGATGATGCCAGCCCCAGGAAGCCCTCTGGGCCTCACCACTGAGCAGATACAGGATTCAGGGTGGTATGGGGAGAAAGCTGGTGGGAGCCACAGCTCAATGAACTCAACTAGGCCTCTCGCTTTTCCTCCTTTAAGGGGAACTAACTGGGACACACAACAGAAAGAAACCCAACAGCAAAGCTGCAATGTGCTCCACTAAAGAGCACAAGGGCCAGGCAAATGGTACAAATGCCTCAGTGTCCCAGTCAAAAAGGGAAAGCCCCGCAGGCCAGACTCCTGCTTGCAGGGGAGGGCAGACAAGACAGTAGGCTGCCACATGACTGTGCCAGCTGCCTGCTGAGGGTAGCCCTGCTGGCACCTGCCTGCATCAAAGGAGCTAGCATGACATGCCCCACATAGCGAGCCAGAGACTCACGTCCTGCCAAGTGTTGGATAATCTGGTCCAGTGACTCCAGGATGCAGACCTTGGACTGAAATGTTATCTGGGCTTCCGCAAACAGGTTGAAGATATAGCTGACAGAGAGAAGAAAAGAAGCTTGAGCCTGAGTAGGGACCAGGCTTGCAGCTTTGGGAATCTATAGGTGAGCAGCTTTTAAGTTTCCTCCACTTAAAAACAAATGCTGAGCCCTTTAGGATTGTCAAAATCCAGGTGAGAGGCCTCGGGACCCTTCAGGTGTGGAGATGAAAGTAGGCTCTGGCATGACAGCCGCGTCACGTACCAGAGAAGACCAGGCACTGGGGCCAGGGCTACCATGGGGTGGAGGGAGGATCCTTGGAGCCTTCCTGGGGCAGTTTCTGAGTGGGGTCTCCAAATGCTTCGGAAAGAGACAGGGATGGGGGCCTAGAGGGGAATCCTTGGGGTTCAGCACAGGGCAGGGCAGGCTGGAGCCCTGAATGTCAAGCTGAGGAATGAGGCTTCACCTGGAAGAACTGGAAGCCCTGCAAGGATCAGAGCTCAGAACAGACCAGCTCAGGAGGAAGGCAGACATCTCAGGGCCCTTGGAACATGCTCTGTCCTCTGCCCTCAACAAAAGCAGGCCTGGTCACAGTACAGCAATTAGCTGTGTGCCCAAGAGAGCTGTCACACTGATAGCTCACCTGCCTTCAAGGCAGCAGCCTTTACTGGCCCAGGTTGCTGAAAAACTGGGCGACTATGGAGCATTCAGAGCACTCTGGGCCTCCTGGAGCCCTAACAGGCGGTGACAGCACTGGTTGTGCTACAGAGAAGGTCTTCCTCTAACTGCACTACCAAGAGTGGGAGCAGAGAGCCACAGGACACGGTGAGAGAGTGCTGTGACTCCCAAGCCTCTCACTGACCACGGAGAGCTGGCAACCCCTCCCGGGTCTGGAAATCAACAGCAGACCCCACTGGCATGTGAAGCCCAGGCCTGCGTGGTCAGACCCAGCAGGACACTGTGAGGACAAAGCCGCCCACTCTGGGCAGGAGTCAGCCTTTGTTCCTTACCTTCCTGGCTTAGTGACACCACTACCATCTCCGGGTAGCTGGACAGCATCGATGGCCCCCTCCAGGCGAAGAAGGATCACTGTGGGTCAAGGAAGTGTCAGGGGCAGGCTCCACTGGCTGGGAGGGGTGGTGGGGAGTGGCACTTACTCTTGAGCTTGGCGATGTCTTCCAGCTGCATGTTCAGTCCTAGGTGAGAGAGCAGCACATGCACAACTGTGCTTCATCCTAACTCTGCCAACCAGGTTCCCAAGAACCAGGGATTTATTTGTATGTATGTATGTATGTATGTATGTATGTATGTATGTATGTGGGTGTGTGTATGCATGTACGTATGTATGTATGTTTTGAGACAGGTCTTGATTTTGGTTTTTTTGGTGCCAGGGATCGAACTCAGGACCTTGTGCTTGCAAGGCAGGCGGCAGGACCACTGAGCTACATCCCAGGCCTATGAGACAGGTCTTGCTAAGTCACTAAGTTGCCCAGACTGGCCTCAAACTTGCAATTGATCTTCCCTCCTCAGCCTCCAGAGTGCTGGGATTATAGGTGTGTGCATCACCACACCTCAGCCACCTAGCAAGGGATCCTTTAAATTTCTTCGTGAGTCCTGAGTCCTTCCTCCCCTCCGGAGCTGCCCATGTGTGTAAACTTTGAGGACTGCACTCCCAGGTGGGCACTGTCTATCGGATGTCAGACTGCCTCTGGGTGGCATATAGGTGTGTCAACGAGAACAGCTCCAAAAGGTTTCAGAGGTTAAACTGACAGACCAGGTGGCCAGGATGAGCATTTTGCATCTATACAGGCACCCTGCCTGCTAAAATAGATAGGAACCAGAGGCTTCTAACAAAGTAATCAAAATGCTCAGAAACCAAAAGCATTTGTCATGAAACAAACTACCAACCTATGGGAAAATCTCAACTCAAAAGACAAATGGTAGGGCCGGGGATTTAGCTCAGTGGTGCCGCTGCCTGCCTCGCAAGCACAAGGTCCCGAGTTCGATCTCTGGTACCAAAAAAAAACAAACCCCACTGCAAAAGAGAAATGGCAACAGATGTCAAGACCAGGACATTAGAATCTGACAAGGATTTTAAAGCACCCATCATACAAGTGCCCCAACAAGCAATCACAAACTCTCTTGAAAGAAATTAAAGGTAGGGGCCGGGGATTCAGCTCAGTGGTTTGGCCGCCTGCTGTGCAAGCACAAGGACCCGAGTTCCCCGGGTACCAAAAAAAAAAAAAAAAAAGAAATTAAAGGTAGAAGCCCTCAGCAAAGAAATATACAGGGAAGAACCAAGTGGATATGTAGAACTAGAAACACAAGAGCCAAAATTTGAAACTTAGTGGGTACACTCAACAGCAGAATGGCAACAGCAGGAAACAACCGCAAATTTAAGAGACAGAGTTATGGAACCCCATAAGCACACTTGTAATCCCAGCACTCTGAGGGGCCAAGGCAGAAGGATCACAAACTCAAGTCCACCCTAGGCAACTCAGTGACTCAGCAAGACCCTATTTACAAAAAATAAAAAGAGCTGGAGACGTAGCTCAGGACAAAGGTCCTGGGTTCAATCCCCAGTACCACAAAAACAAAACAAAACAAAAGCCATGGATTTATGAGCTGGGCGCAGTGATGCATATCTATAATCTCAGTTGTTGGGAGGCTATGTTACAGGCCAGCTTGGGTAATTTCAGGAACTCTTGTCTCAAAATACATTTTATTTATTTCTTTATTTTTGGTATCAGGGATCAAACTCAGGACCTTGCGCTTGCAAGGCAGGTGGCAGCACCACTGAGCTAAATCCCTGGCCCATCAAAATAAAGTTTTAAAAGGGATGGGAATGTAGCTCAGTGGTAGAGTATTTGGCTAGCATGAAAGCCCTGAGCTTATTTCTCAGTACATTAAAAAAATTTGATTTACATATGAAATAGTCCAACCTGAGGAGAAAGTAGACTGAAAAGCAGTGAGTAGAGTATACATGTTGGAGTCCTTTAGGAAGACAAGAAAGACAGTGTCATGAGAAACAATGGCTAACAACTCTACAGACCTGACAAAAGAACTGCAAATTCCAGAGGCTAAGTGAATCCACAAAGGGGAAACCCAGAGGGCCCACACCAAGACAGCCCAACAGCTGAACAGCAATGGCGACGACAATCTTGAGCTCTGTTGGGGAGAAGCAGAGCGCACCAAGAGCAAAGGGCCATTCGGAGGGTGGCCTTCTCATCGCACAGGGCCAGAGCTGGGGAAGACTCTTCAAATGCTGGCGGGCGAGCCCCATGGCCCCAGGTCCACACCCAGCAAAAATGGGGCTTAGAGCAAAGGGGAGACAGTCTCACAATAAGAAAATGAAGAGTCTGTCTCCAGAAGAACCGCTGACCACACCATAAATATACACAAGTCCCCCTTGCCCACTAAAAGAAAAAAATTAAAATAATAGAATTGTTGAAGTCTTGCAGACAGAAGGGAAATAATACCTAGAAAACCTAGAACACTAGGAAGGAAGAAAGAGCAAAGGAGTAGGGGCAATTTTTCTTTTTTTTTTTGGCCTGGGGATCGGACTCAGGACCTTGCACTTGTGAGGCAGGCAGCAGAACCACTGAGCTAAATCCCCAGCCGCAGCAATTTTTAATGATAATTCTTTTTTTGTCTTTTACAGTACTAGGGATTAAACTCAGGGCCTTATGTATGCTAGGCAAGCAGTACACCACTGAGCTACATCCCACCTCTTTTTAAATTTTTTTTTTTTTGGTGCAGGGGATCGAACTTGGGACTTCGCGCTTCCAAGGCAGGCGGCAGAACCACTGAGCTAAATCCCCAGCCCCGCTCTTTTTAAATTTTGAGATGCAGTCTCACTAAGTTGCCCAGGCTGGCCTTAAATTTGTGATCCTTCTGCGTCAGCCTCCATGGTAGCTGGGATTACAGGGATATACACCACACCTATTTTGTTTTGGATTTTTGTTTTTGTTTCTGAAACAGGATCTTACTATGTTGTCCAGGCTGGCCTATAACCCTTGAGCTCAAGTGATCCTCCTGTCTCAGCCTCCTACTACAGGTGAGTAGCTGGACTACAGGCACATAGTACCATGTCCAGCTGAACAATTCTCTTTATAATTGCTTGATGATTGTAAGCAAAAATCATAGTATCATCTGGTTAGTTCTCTGTATGTAGAGGTATACAAATAGATGACTATCCTAAGGAGGAATCAAAAGACAAATGTGGAAAAGAAACAAACTTCATCACATCCTGAAGAGGACAACGGACCGTAGTGTCTGAAGACCTGCACTGATGTGCAGAGCTAAGATCTCGGGGATGGCAGCCTAGGGCAGAGACCACTTTTGGAGGAGGCAGCTGTGGCTGTGACCAAGGAGCTCCTATATGGCAATATCCCCTTTCCTGCTCTGCTGGTATTCCCCAAGGTCTTCCTAATTAATTAGTCAATGTGCTCATTTTGTGAGGTTTTCTGTACCTGCGCTTTGCTTTAGAAATAAAAGGCAAGGGGCCGGGGATTTAGCTCAGTGGTTTCGCTGCCTGCTGCACAAGCACAAGGACCCGAGTTCGATCCCCGGTACCAAACAAAAAAGGTGAAAATAACAATGGCCAAGATAATGGTGCTTCTCTAAGTCTCAGTCTTTCCAAACACCCTGCAGATCTTCCCATACATCTGGATTGGTGCCATCTCCTATCCCAAATCATAGATCATGGACGGAACTGTGCCCTCCCCGAGCCCTCACACTGGAGCCCTACCCCAGTGTGGCTGTATTTGGAGACAGGGCCTTTAAGGAGATAATTACTCTTCATAAGGTCACAGGTAGACCTTTAATTCAATAGGGTAGGTGCTCTTGTGTGAAGAGACACCAGGGGCCTGGGACAGGCCATGTGAGGACACGTGAGAAAGCAGCCTTCTGCGAGCCAGTGGCCTCAGGGGGAAGCAGCTCTGCTGACGCCGCCGTGGTCTTGGCCCTCCCAGGCTCCAGAACTATGCGAATAAATTGGAGTCATTTAAGCCATGGTATTTTGTTACAGCTCCTTCCCTCCCGCCCTTCCTCTCCTTCTCCCTCCCTCTCTCTCTCTCTCTGGGAGTACAGTTTAACCTAGGGCCTCATGCATGCTAGGCAAGCATACTCCTACTGAGCTGCATCCCCAGCCTTTTTTCTATTTAAGACAGGGTCTCACTGATTTGCCCAGGCTGGCCATGAATTCATGATCCTCCTGCCTCAGCCTGCTAAATATCTGGGGTTATAGGCGAGCACCACCACACTCAGCTTGTTCTTTCCTTTTTTTTTTTTTTTTTTTTTTCCAGTGATTGAACTCGGGACTTTGTGCTTTCAAGGCAGGCAGCAGAACCACTGAGCTGAACCCCAGCCCTCCTTTCCTTGATGGTGCCCTCTGAAGCATACACTTCTAATTTTAGTGATGTCCAACTTACTCACTTTTCTTTCGGTGCTTTTGTTTTCGGTACCGGGGATGGCACTCAGGACCTTGCACTTTCAACGCAGGTGCAGTGCCACTGAGCCACATCCCTGGCCCCGATGGGTTTCCAAATCACTACCAGGCTGGGGATTTAGCTCAGCAGCACCATTCCTGCCTCAAAAGTGCAAGGTCCTGAGTTCAATTCCCAGTACCAAAAAAAAAAGAGATTCACATCTCGGTGAATAACTCTCCATTCCTTAGGTGTGGGCTTTACCTCCTTCCAAAGAGAATAGCATGCAAAGGAGGAAAAGGAGCAACCTTAGTAACACTGCTGTGGAGAACCTTGACAAGGGCGGCCTCCTGTGTCCATGCTGGACATCACACTGGCCAACACACTCGGGTGATGTGATGGGAAGGGGCCTGCACTCTGCTCTTCCTCCCAAATCCCATCACCTCAGCATATCCATCAGGATATGATCCCAGCCAAGGGACATTCTACAGAACAACTGACCATTCTGCCTTCAAGTCACCTGGGTTATCAAAAGCAAGGAAAGTCCAAAAGATTGTCACAGCCAAAAGGAAGCTAAGGAGATGTGAGACTAAGTATACATAATGACTAAAAAACTAGAAAAATCAACTACTTCATACCCATTAGGATGGCTGTTCTCCAGAAAAAGAAAAAGGTCCTAGCTGTTTGAAAGTATGTTTAATTTCATTCATAATAAGAGAAAAGCAAACCAAGATAAATTTTTTCATCTATTAAACTGGCAAAAATTTAAA